AAAATTTGTAAAAAATAGAGTTTTTAATTGCAACTTAAATATCAACGTTCTGAAATATAAACAATGAACATCAGTCATCTTGAATAACGTTGTATTGAAAGTCATATCCGCGGATATGAAACATATCCGGTATTAAGTCAAACTCTTGTATTTTTTTGTAAGCCACAAAATCGCCAACGATTTCGCCACTGATAAATGGATAAATGCAAAACAAGCAAAGTTATTCAACAGTTAGGTAAATGGGAGATAAGGTTTTTGTAATATAAAACTTACAACTCGTTTTAACACGTGGAACTTCTATATAAACTTCTCAATCTTTCACGGATGAACTTGTAAACAATGGCGATTGCGGTAAAATGACGTTAGGGCGAAAATAGTTCGTATTCATACGCATGCATTGTTTTTCTTAAATTTACACTTATGAAGCATTAGGCCCTATAAGCTTTAAAGTTAGCTGATCTGAAATCCGTGTTCCATTACTTGCTAAATTTTTGAGTTCTATGACACTTAATTAACTTGTGACTACATGTAATTTGTACTATATTTATGCAAGTACTTTGGCTATGATCGACCGCTGGCGTAGTAATATTAAAATCGCGTAAAGCAAAAATATACATACAATTTTAAAAGACGATTGCTAAATTTAGTACAAAATTGGCCAGTCAATTTTAAAATAGATAGGGAACTATGATTTTGGAGTTACTGCGAAGTTTTGGAACTATTTTGCTTAGCGTAGGTAGCTGACTATTTGTGGTCATATCATAGTAAATCTGAATTTGTCGTTATTCCATTGGGGGCGCATTGCGCATGCGCCCCCAAAAAAGGATTTCTGGATAATGCGTAACTTTAGATAAGCTTTACAACTGAAAATACTTTAACCATATCGCTATATTTAACCACGTCTGATATGACTTATAATTTACTGAATCCGATATAATTAAATATTAACTATCATATAGAAAACCATAGGCTAAATAAAGTTTTCAATTAATGTCTACGTCTAATATATTTGTATATAGAAATTAGAAAATGAACTAATTGAACAAAAAGATGGTTAAAGTTATACAAACCTTTGATTGAAACATCGGTTTTTCCAATCTGGTCAAGTTGCTGGTTTCTGTCAGATATACCATTGTTAACATGGCATGTATATGTCCCACTATCTTCAAGTTGAAGTTTCTGAATGTTGATCACGCCATTAAAATTTCTATTACCTGGTAAATGTGCATTTGATATCTTTATTCCTCTCCATGTCTGCACGATTGATGTAAATGTATAGCTGGCTGGTCGTCCAGAAGCGTTACACCTAATCTGTAAACTATTGTTTTCTACAGGATCTGCTTCGCTTATAATCACAGAAACGTTTGGGGCATCTAATTATATGAAATAATAAAACTGTATCAGACTTTGTATTTGTTCCTTAAGGGTATCAATAAGCCAGACGGCATATATGAAAAACACAGAGATAATATTAAAATCCCATTAACACTTTTACCGGTTAAGTGAAATCTACTTATATAAAACAAAAACATTGTGGATATTGAGTATATGCTTGAAATGACATTATATTTATATGTGATTATTTACAAAACATTTAATAATTCAAATTATTACCCCTCACTTTGGTTCGTAATGTTAATTTCCCAAAGGCCACTGGAATCTCTGCAAGTGTACTGTTATGTATGCAACATATTACATGTATATAATTTATATCTGACCAGTTGATATTTCCAATATTATCATTGTTCTATTTTTAGAACATAAACTACATGTATGTACTAGAACTTTCTTAACTGTTGTAGAAAACTCATGCATTATATTTAGATAGAAACTTCCGGAATGATCTTTATTGTTGAAGTTGCTAGATTATGATTACTGTAGTAAATGAAAGACTATTCTAGAAACTTCTTAGCTTAATATATATAGGAGACATTTTTCTTTCGTATTACCTTTTAAGTCATCAGTTATCTTTTAAGTCGTCAGTTACCTTTTAAGTCATAAATATATTTGGAGTATTATTCAACTTGGATATTAAGTGATTTATTGGAGCTTGGATTATTTTAAAATAGATTAAATTATTCTTGTGAATTTTATTGTGGGAATTTATTCTAAAGTGTTCTTGGATTTAATTTGGATTTAACTGTGCTCTTCAAAAAGGATCATTCCAGGATCAGACTAGACATTTGTAATTTACATTTTTATTTGGACTTCAGGTATTTGTAAAGATAATTTGTTATTTAATTTTTCTTTAATAATTTTTCTGTAATAAATTTGTTATATTGTTACAAGTTTGTTGCTGGCTTTTCTTTCTCGTTACGCCTGGCTCGTAACAGTACCAAGTGACTGAGAAATTTGTACTGTTACGTAGGTAATAGTACTTTTTTAACAGTATAGAATCTGGTCGCATGGTCTATTTTCTAAATAAAATTAAATAAAATGGTCGCCATTTTTCTAGTTTCATTTTATTTCAGACGTTCACTACGACAGTGCATCACTAGAGTAACTATGACATTCATAAACTTTAGTTCTTTGCACCCTTGAGTGCTTTCTGCGTATAAAATACCTTTTTGTTGAATAGTCATAAAGTAAAAATCCGTTTCAATCGGAAGTAATTGCAATGTGAATAATTATGCGTCATACTGGATTATGCAGACAATTAAAGCATGCAACAACGGGTTTTTTAACAATTTAAATCAGTGAAACGTTACAGATATGGTGGACAGACGTAAGATATCGTCATTTTGTAAAGTCACTTTGACAAAAACCATGCGAAGAGTATTCTGGATACAGAATGATCAGATTTCTGTAAAAATGGTTCTAAATAAAACACAGCTTATTGTATGTTTATGACTGGTAGATTTCATCACTTTGCTTAAAGAATAAAAGAAAAATAACTTCTCAAGTAGGCTTACAGTACATTAACAAGGTAAGGACAGTTTAATTATTGTTACTTTTGGTTTGATTTTGTTACTGATTGAGTTGACATTTTTAGATCATCATAGTATTTGTTCGGGGTAATAGAATAAATAACACATGGGTTTGTGAGTAACAGTTAAAATAGCATCCCTCGTAAAAATAAAGTAATCATCGACTAAGACCTCGGGTAACAATATTTGCCTCGGGATGATATTTTTACTGATACAAGCAAGCCAATGTGTTATTTATATACTGTCAACAGATCAACATGGTAAATTATTCACAGTACTCGAGCAGTTAAAGGAGGTCTTTGAATACATTACGTTAAAATAAAGGTAAACATCTATGAGCAATCGTGTACTTTTGAGCTAAAAGTTATTTCTTAATGAGTTAAGTGTAAAAGGTTTGTCTTACAAAGACAAACTTATTTCTATTACCCTTATTAACATCTTACCGAGAGGAAAACTATATTTTTTCAAGTCTGAAACTATTTATTATTCAAAACATATAGTTGGTTGTGATAAAAGTCAGGTAATTGTCTCATGTACTAATATGTATATTTCATTGGGTTAAATTTACTTCTTTGGAAATAACCAATACCATTTATAAGATAATTTACTTACAATAAACAATTACATCTATAGTTGTCTCTGTAACAAAATCATGGTTTCGATATTTTTCCGAGGTTGCCTCAGCTCTACATGTATATCTTCCATGATTTTTGCGATCAGTGTCCTCAAATGTCAAATAGGAACTGCTCAGGGGTTGCCCAATCCATTTTACTGTTGGTGTTGGATTTCCTGTGGCATTACAAAGTACTGCCAATGTCTGACTCTCGTTTCTTGTCACAGACTTCGTAATTATTCCATCTACCACAATGTGGTTAATTGGATTATCTGTATTGATTAGAAGACCGATATTTATTCCGAATGATAATATCTAATTCAAAATTATTTAACACTTGGTACAATACAGAAAATTACAAGAAAAGCATTGATGCAAAGCATCAAAGGCGACGCCAAAAAATTTGATCAAGTTTTGCACCTAAATACTTAACAAAAGATGTGTACTTTATAGCAGTACCATAACATGTGTCCTGGAGGCTAGGACCCTGTTTAAGTTGAAAGTTGAACCCAAAAGAATAGACTCTGTCTTGCCAAGATGCAAAGACAATTTATAGTCAATAAACCAAGACTCATACCACAGAGTCATCAGCATATAATAAAAGCTTATTGCTTAGGGTTGCAGACATGTCATTGACATATATTAGACATAAAAGAGGACCTAAAATGAACCTCAGGGGGGACACCATAGGTACTCAGAGTAATAGTAGAATGAGTAACAGCCACATCCACCAGCTGTTGTCTATCAGGAATAAGACTTGAACCATGTAAGAATGGCATTACCTATGACAGATGCTAGAAGTTTCATGAAGAAGGAGAGAAGAAGAACTTCTTCATGTGCAGTATAGTGGGATCAACTGTATCAAATGCCTTTTGTAGATCTAAAAGTATCATGCAATACTGCCTTTATCCATTTCAAATTTAAAACAATCTGTTACATGAATCATACATGTGTCAGTTGAAAAAAACACTTCTTACTCCTGACTGAAACTGCCTGACCATGACTCGAACCAATGATTGTCAGAAGACCAACTGAGCTATCAGGCCGGCTACACATTTTCTCTTTAATAATGAAACAGTTATAAACCACAACATATTTCCCACTATATTGATTTGTGTCCTTAAATTTCTGATGTTTACAGAGCATAGTGAATTAAACTCAGGGTTATATGCAGTCACAGGATGAGAAAAACTTTCAGCTTGACCAGAACTCGAACCTGTGACCGACAGAATAATGTACCGCGGCTGTAGCGATTGAGCTATCTGGCCGCTTACACATTTTCTCCCCTAAATAGTGAACAGTTCTAAACCGTGACAGATACTTTTAGATTTTTAAATCAACAAGTAGATTAATTCTTAATTAAACAAATAAGATAAAAAACCTTACATACTCATAGTCTTTTCAAAATAACAATTTATATATTGTAAAATTATTTTTACTAAAAAGGGCTTAGACAGTTATTGGTTGTGGCATTATTTATAACAGGTCAATTTGAAAGTGTGCTAATACATGTACACTATCTATTTTTTTGTACAAATAAAAAATAACCTTTTTCTATGATAAGAAATTTTATGAAGGCTGATTTGTATTTTGTATCAGGGGCACCGGGCGAAAACATGAAAATGCAACAAACGAACCACTTTTTGGTAGATTGTATTTTAATGTTTTCATCTGGCGCCCGGTTACTTTTTGTACTTTGTTGGTTTTCATGTAGCACAAATCACCCACTATAAAACTATGAAAAGTTTGTTGTTGGGTTGACTCTGGAGACCTGGAGGTTGAGACCGGTGTCCCTCCATTACAAATAGATAAGACAGAACCTGTCATTTTTAAACTATGCACATGTTAGAAAAAAAAATTGAATAACTATTCAGAATATGATTTTTTGAGACTTTAAAAATATTGCTTGATCCAAGTTTAAGGACATTTTCAATCAATACATGTATTATCATTTATAACTTTAATGAAAGTCTCATCCCTTTAATAATAATGTCATAACTGTAACTCTTTAAATACAGAAATATTAAAAGTCTTATCATATCAATATACTAAGATATACATATATGCACATAACATTAATAATTCCCAGTTTCTATTACATAAATATGAAATCCTAACGTTAACTGTTTAACATTGGTACTAATGGATGGAATTCAAAATCTAGTAGAAAGAAAACTATAATGTATAAATTCTATTATAGATACTATTATTAGCCAATTAACACTGGGTATAAACACCTATAACATGTAGACTAATCAATACATGTATTATCATTTATAAATTTAAATGCAAGTCTCATCCATCATAACTGTTAGTCTTTAAATACAGAAATACACATTATATCCATATACTGATATACACATGTATGCTCATTACATTAATAATTCCCAGTTAAGTTTCCATTAAGAATATTTAAAACATCCTATTATAACACCTTAAACAGCAAAATTATGAAATGTTGCAGGCTCAGTTTTATTAGGCCATGCAGAGTAATGGTATAAAGTATTTATGAAAAGTAAGATGGTCATGTGACAGCATTAATTGCAGAAAATCGAATAGCTTACTGGTACACTTTTTTAAAACAATCATTCTGTGCAATATATTAACGTAATATGGATAAAATCAATAGGGTAATCGTTTACAACAGTTCCATTCCTATCCTAATACTCATTTGCAGGTGAACGTTCTTCTTGTAGGAAAATTTTGAAAATATATAAATGAATGAAAAAGAATACGGCATCAAAGTAGATCACAACGATATTCGAAATCCGGGTTTTAGTATTGCCAATAAAGCTAAGGGACAGGCTATTAAACTGATCCTGCAATTTCGTGAAAATAATATCACAATGCACATGGTTTTTACATGAAGTTATTAAATACAAATATAAGAACATATTTGTTTACTTGATTTTTACGAATCAAAATAAAACTAATTAACACAACATCAACTGCTAATAATAACAGCTCATTCCATAGGCCAAAATAAAAAGCATTCCATAAGAGACGACAATAAACATTTCAAACTATCATCTGTGCAACGCTTAATTTAATTTATGTATATTTATCTTTTTTAAGGGAAACATTTGAGAGTGACATTGAAAGATTTATAGTGTTATTGACTCCATGTTGTTTTGATAATACATTTTGTCCGACATCATTCGTCATCCAACTCTGATCCATTTGGGGAAATTGTCAGTTACTTGTGGAGAACAGGTATGTATGGATAAAGAATCCAGGAACACTGGTTATGCTAACTGCCAACCGGATACATACATGAAATACTGTTGAACACAGTGCTTAACCCAAACAAATACAGTTTCCATATTTCTGTATTTGTTTTATATGTTGTAATTTCAAAGTGGCGAATCTTCATAAGCAGGATAGGCAGACTTCTCTTTTGTTTATACATGAATGAGTATTTAAAAGTGAAGTTTATACAAGCATATGGATCATGAATAACGAATCTTGTTCCGCTATATGTTATTATCCTAGGTGGTATTCATACTTTGTTGAACAAAACGAAATCACACTTTTTAGAGTTGAACAAGTCCTTGACTGTAACAGTGTTATTTTAGCTATATTGTGCATGTAATTTCAAGTTATATTGGCAAACATGAAGTTTAATTTATTTACAATAATGTTCTTGAAATTATATATATTTATAAGGAGTGTACTACATATGACATATGACGACCATTCAACTCACTTTATTCCTTTGTTAGTTTTTATGAATAATAAATATGAAATTACTGCAACAAGAGCGAAACATTTAGATATATCAATTTTATGGCGATATAATTTACTTGAATTATTATAGAACATAGTGTTTTAAAACAGATTGCATATACTTTATTCAAGTACATGTATCTGTTTCATACAATGAGAAACATAATAAATTGCCTTTTTCCGTTCCGTTCCGTCAAATATCATTATTCAACGGGATATTTTTATATTACAGAACAAAACGAAATAGCTGTTTGCAGTCCCAAAGAATTGATTAAAATAATGTCCATTAGAAGAGGGCATTCAGTTAAGTTCGATAAAGCCCTATATGGACTATTCGCTCGGCAGTTTCATATTTTCATTCAGAAAAAATATTGTTTAAAATAGCTGTGCCCCATGTGGAGCCCCAACGTTAGTTACGTGTTGCAAAGTATAAATAGCCATTTAAAAACAATAATTGTCCATCATAAATCTCAATAATGGCAGCGTAAAACATGCATACAAAATTTTATCTAAATAAAAAACACAGCTTTAGAACAGTTTGTTGACAAAAACGTCTGCAACAAGGTAAACAGTTTCTAACGAACTATCAACAGCATGAGCAAGTAGAAAATGCAACTCTTGTAAAATGGCAAGGTTTTATATCATTATATGTATATCTCATTAAAACAAGTTATTATGCTGAATAGTTTTGCTTATGATGACAACTTTTGATTAAAATGTTTCACTTTCATGATAAAATAAAAAACATATGTACAAAACTGTAGGAAATAGACATAAAGGATTGTACTTTTTTATACTTACATTCCACTTCTAATTTTACAGTTGGAGACATTAAAGTTGAACCCTTGACCTGTGTAAAATAATTATCAAGCTGACAAGATACAGAGGAACCATCCATCTGTGACGTCATAGTTGGTAAATTTAGTTTTCTAGAATCACTGTTGTCAGGTGTACCATATTGTTTATTCCATCTTGTTGTAGAAGCTGGATTTCCATAATCCTGGGAAGAGCAATAAATGCTTTTTCCCGTCTGATTTTCTAGAAAAGGAAATTCTGATGTTGGTATAGATGGAGTAGCTGGAGACCCTAAAATGTAACAAATTTATAAAGCAATTTTTCAGTCATAAAAAAACTTCTCTTAACCAAATATTCATCCTTTTACCTTATCAATATCAACAGCTTATACTTTCACCACAAATAAAATGATGTGTGTCTGATTATTGTTTCCCTTCAAAAAAAGAAATAATGACTATTTAATTCTGCAATAAAATCATTTTGCAAATAAACCTGAGTAAACAAGGTAAAGTCCATTAATATAACAGCTGACTTAATAGGAAATAAAACATTAATAAGCAATTAACAATGTTGAAATTAAACATTACACATATAAAAGTAAGCATAACTTGATTTAACAAATACATACAATACACTGTTACAGTTTGCTGTGCACTGGGTCTGTTAGCTTGTCCTGATAGAAAAGACTGACAAGAAATAACTTTTCTGTCATCAGCTTTTCTAGGTGTAAATGATATAACACTTTTCACCGAGATAAGATTTCCTTGATTTATCTCTGTGTTTTGTATGTTTGTTAGACTAGATGAACCTTTCCACCATGTTACTGTGGCAGCTGGTCTTGTTGCAGATGTTATACATTCCATACTGACTGTATCATTCTCTAGCAATATCATACTACCAGTTGTTTTGTTGGTTATTGTAGGTGTTGTTGCATATACTATGAATATCAATAGCATTACAACTTATTATATTATACAATAAAGGAGATAAGCTATTTTTATATTTAAATATTAAAATCCCGTGAATTTAGATATAAGGAAATGGAAACGATTCGTAAGATTTATAACTAATTTATCATTCAGGGAACTCATCAAGTTAACAAAGAATGCATGTGCTTGTGTATTAATGTAAGATCCCCCAAATGGGCACTATAAGGAACCGTTAAATTTGCAACATAGGTCACTTATACGTGGAAACATGTATGAAAATGTTAACAAAGTTTAGTACGTAGTTTACGAGTTATGAATATTTTATGGACTAACATTTTGTAATTAGAAGGTCTCTTTTTAAAAAATGAAGAAACTCAAACAATCTATGATATCGTTTTTATGAAAAAAATGTTCTCCCATTTGTAATTGTTATGAAACACATAATAACATTCAACTTACAATCTACAAAAGCAGAGTAATTGGTACTAGTAAAAACTATGAATTTTGCACGAAATATCACCCTACTCTATCAGTTTTTAACACTTTTTCCTACTTTGAGAGCATAATTTAAAATAATCTCTAAAAATTACTAGTTTCCCTAAATTTTCTCAACAGATTATTGGCTGATGTTGTTAAATATTAAATAGTTTTACCATGAAGTTTTGATTTAATTAGATTTTGAAAAATCAGGTACCATTTTTTAAATTCGATTTAACATTATTTAGCCATAAAATACTTATATAAAATACATGTATATTATTAAAATTTAACACTTTTTGTCTCTCCAAAAGGGATGAAAGAGAAAAATAGATAATATTAAAAGAGCAAAAATAAAGAAAAAACAGTTGATAGTTCTGGGGTTTGAACACATGCCACTTCGTTTCAATGCAGTTCTAACCTATTTAAATACTCTTAAATGCAGAGGTAATGCATTGGGGTCTAACTTTAAGACAATGAATTAACGCTTTACCTGTTTATTCATTTGATAAATATTTTATCTATGTTTCATCCTTCTTATAAATTATGACACTAAAGATCAACATAGGAGAACACCGTTAACGGAAAGCAGGCCAATCATTACAAAAATAGTTTTAATAATAACAGATATAATGTGAATGACTTTTGTACTAATTACAGTATTCTGATTTAAAAGCAATCAAAGTTTGGTATCAAATTAGAGAACATTAATTTGATAAACGTTAAACCTTTTTCTATAACGACATGAATGAAAAGTATAATGTACCCGTAACATAAAGTGTTGATTTATATGAAATGACAGCTTGACTCTCAGGTTGTGTGTTAAAGGCTTTACAGCAGACCTGTTTGCTATGATCACTGTTCTGTGGGTTGAACGTAAAGGTGTTAGAGACAGATCTTAGTTTCTCTTGTGTTCCAATATACCATACTATTGTAGCTGCTGGTCTGCTTACACTTGTGTCACATGTCAGTGTTTTACTTACACCACTTACAACTTGTAGTTGTCCAGAAATTGTACTTGATCCATCTTTGAGTGTAGCACTTGATACTTGAACTAATGTAAACATAAATGAACAGTTCAGGCTGTATTGCTAAAAGATGCAGGATAATATTTAAAACACATTTGTTATACAGTTAATAGAAATGCGTGAAGTTTCTTATGAATACAGATTGTTTCATAGATATACATTACCTGTAATTGTATATGTCAAAAATTAATATGACATGATAATGTTACCATTTCAAAATTATCCCTTTAATCATTTTAAGGCAATTAAATAAATCAATAAACAAAATAAGATTTTCATTACATCACAAAATGGTCAAATAAACGGTATAGTGAACAAATAAATGCACACATTAACTGTAGTTTTTGCGTTCATTTCACTAGGCAATGACGTGGTTTTTGACAATTAGATTATCAAACCAATAATACAGATTATGCCCTGTTAGCACAGCCAAATATTCTCTGTCCATTACCTTGTACTGTAAGATGAACATAACTAGTAGTTTAATACTATTTTATTTATCATAATTAAAACAACAAAAATACTGTAAAAGACAACCTTGCACATAAAGTGTTGCCTTATATGAAATAACAGCTTGATTCTCAGGTTGTGTGTTAAAGGCTTTACAGTAGACCTGTTTGGTATGATCACTGTTCTGTGCGTTGAACGTGAAGGGTTTAGGTGTAGATGTTTGTTTTTGTTCTGTTCCAATATACCATACTATTGTAGCTGCTGGTCTACTTACACTTGTGTCACACGTCAGTGTTTTACTTACACCACTTACAACCTGTAGTTGGCCAGAAACTGTACTTGATCCATCTTTGAGTGTAGCACTTGATACTTGAACTAATGTTATAATAAATGAACGGTTAACAGATAGTAAACATGACGTTTGTTACGTGCTAGGAAGGAAAATTGTATTGTGTGGTATTTTAAGGGTTTTTCTTGGCCTTTTATTGTGCAATCAAAAATGTATTTTTTCTATTGATGACAATATACATTGAACCAAATAATTTCTAAATGGTCATTCATTAAATTGCAATGTTTTTCATTTTTGTTGTTTTTTTTTTAAAAACTTGTTTTTCTTTAACAATACTTGACTTGTATTTACCTAAATCATAAGTCATCTGTTTCCTACCTACATATCAATACTGATTTTCAGATAAAAATCATTCATACATTAATTACCAAAGTAACAAAAACTAATGCCAGTCACATGCAGCACGGAGAAGTTTAATATGGAAAATACCATGCCATTTATGTTCATTGTAAACCGATACTTTTTCTTGTCTTTTTTCAATTTGGCATATAGTGATTTTCTGTTTTGACAAGGATTAAAAACAATCTTGCAGATCCATGATTGTTAACCAGTAGCATATTTACACAAGTCCATATCGATTTTGCAAATGACAAGTGTAATTTTCATTCCCTTTTTTTCAGATTTACCTATAAAGTGGTCAGACCCATGATGTTTTTGAAATGCAGCAAGTAGAAACGATCACAAGAACATAATCTTTTGACATTAGATGTCACATGCATGGCATGGGTTTATTTAACGATCTTTATCCGTTATTAGGTAAAAAGTTAGATGTACTGTTTATAAATGAGCTCAATTAAACTGAACTTTCACATTTTGCCGTTTTATGTCATTCTAAAATAGTCCAATAGTGGGAATATGTTAACTAATTACAGTTTACAAAATATTCAGAACTTGTGAATATTGAATAAGTGTATTGCTGTTGTTGAAACATAGGAACATTTAACGTTTTTGAAATACAGTTGTAATACAATCTACAAATTGATTTTGCTTCCATCATCACTATTCTGTTGTTTACTAGATCCAATTCGGGAATTGTTTTTAACATTTTAATGTCAACATTTTAAAGTATCTTTAAATGTGTAGTACTTCACAGTTTTTTTAGAAGACAATTGACTGTTATTCTATTTCTATTATCAAAAGAAATAAAATTCATTTATTTATTTACAACATGCATATATAGTAAAATATACTCAGACAACGAGTGCCCTGGTATGTTCACAATTGGCACAATGGGCACACAAAATTAAGAAATAATCAATATTTTTTACGTAAGTAATGTTCCAAAGATTTATAATTAGGGAATTCAAAATGTTTTGAAATTATCCAAATATGAAGACTTAATGGAAATCTACGTTCGCAAAAACATAAATAGATGGATGCCGGATTTTAAATAGTTTTGACTTCTAATTTCAGTTACAGCATTTAGAACAAATCCCCTTCTCTTTGTTAACCACACTTCTCTTTGTTAACCACACATATTACACATTTACCACAGCATCAGTCTATGTCTGTGACACTGACCATACATTTGATAGACATTGGAACTAGAACCATTCAATTAAACCTATTTAAGCTTATTT